GGAATCTAGATGGGAGCTTTTCAAAGCACTAAGCCAGTCAGTCACCATCTCAGATGGCTAAAGGACCTAAGGGGCTTTTCTGTCCCTTTCTGCTATTCCCTTCTGCTACACGGTTCCAAGTAATTCCATGTAATTCAGTGATAAGCCGTTAAGCTCCTCGAGATCCGTAACTGGAATCATCTATGACACTCTTTGCATTCATGCACTTTGCTGGAGGAGAAGGTCCACGGTCAGGTGCGCATTTCTATGGCTCTCAGCGGGCCACGGCCACCCCAATAGTGAGGGCAGTGGCTGGGGGCCCCTGTGCCTGACTCCTCGCAGGCACCTGCTCGTTACCTTCCATCCCTACTTGAAACCTGAGGAAGCAGAGGCTTGGAAGGGTAGGTCGCTAACCTGACATCCACAGGTGAGGAAGTGTCTGAGCAGGGCCTTGAACTTGTGTCCATAAGGATTCCAGAGCCTGGACTCCTAGCCACTCCACTCTGCTGCCTCCTTCTCTCCCGGTGGCTGTCGGTGAAGGCAGAAGGTAGGAGGTTCGCAGGGAGTAGCTAATGTCCCACAAGTAAGGCTGTTCTTCTATGTAACAGGATGGAAATGGGAGTCCTTTACCCAAAACTCCAAAGCCAGAGGCAGTGGGCAGCAAATATCCCCATATTCCAAATGGGGATTGCCAGAATCCATCACCCAAGTGTGTTGTGAAGTGTGTGCACTTCTCACTCCTCAGCCCACATTTAAAGCAAAGCCAGGGACCTTGTGTCTGTGCACAAGCGGACTTTTATGTTATGTAACGTGCTGGGACCTCACTGCTCTCCGCACCTCTGCAAGCTCCTGGCAGGGACTCCAGAGACCCTGTTGATTAGGGGGCCACAGAGAGGGGGGCACCAGTGCCTCCTTCCACAGTCGGAGGCCCCCTGCCCTGCAGAAACCCCAAGCCCACACCCAGGCACAGATATGTCTATTTATCACACACCTCCCCCAGCTTTGGGGTGGAGGGCATCCCCAAGACAGTGTCCTGCTCGGGGAACTCGGTGTGAGAGGTGAACCAGAGGAGGGTAAGGCCAAGGGCAGCTGCAGATCCTGCAAGAGAATCTGAGCTGCTCCGGGGCTAAGAGGAGGCCATGGGAGGTAACCAGGTTCTAGCAGTGTGTTGGGGACCCACACCCGGAGTGACAAAAGACCACTGAGGGAACATCTGTACCCACACAAAATAGCCCTGGGATGCAAGACGGAGGCCTTGAAAACAAGACAGAAAGACAGAAGTCAAACAGTACTGCTCATCAAAAATCATAGCCCCCCCCTCCTCCACCCCGCCCCCCATTTTGCCAGGCCCTGGAGAAAACAGACAGTACTGGTCTCCAGGGCTGCCGTAACAGAATCCCACAACCTGGGTGGCTTATAACAGAGGTTTATTGTCTTATAGTTCTGAACACTAGAGGTCTGAGGCTAGAGGGTCAGGGGGGCACGCTTCCTTTGACCGCTCTGGGGGAGGATCTTTCCTGGCCTCTTCCAGCTTCTGGGGGTGGCTGGCGGTCCCTGGCCTTCCTTGGCTGGTAGATGATTCATCCAGTCACGTGGCCACCTTCTGTGTGTCTGTTCCCTCTGCATGTCTGTCCAAATTACCCCCATTTTATAAGAACACCAGTCATACTGGATTAGGGCCCACCCTGACGACTTCATTCTAACTCAATCGCTTCTATAAAGACTATTTTCAAATAAGGTCACACGCTGAAAGAGTAGGTGTTAGGACTTCAACGCGTCTTAAAAAAAATTTTTTTTTAATGTTTATTAATTTTTGAGAGAGAGAGAAAGAGTGTGAACAGGGGCAGAGGAGGGGCAGAGAGAGAGCCTGACATGGGACTCAAACTCATGAACTCTGAGATCGTGACCTGAGCCGAAGTCGGACGCTTAACTGACTGAGCCACCCTGGCACCCCAAGACTTCAATATATCTCTTTCCAGAGACAGGATTCAACTCGTAACAGTGGGCAACCCATCCCCAGGCCACTGCCGGACTCCACGCAGGGAGGGAGACACCTTAAACTGGATGCAGAGGACAGGCTGTGCACGGGCTGGACTGGGCCTTTTTAATATCTGAGAGTAGCATTTGTTCTGGCGTGAAAAGGGTTGAGAAGCTCTCGCACGTGCCTGCGATGTCGTCAAGGGGAGGGGAAGGAGATCCAGCCGGGCATGATTGAAAGCATCGAAGGGAGAAAAATAAAGCCATTTCCTGTTCGTACCCCATCGAGTTCAGCCCATTCAATATATGGTTATATATACAAGAGGCAGCTAGGGACCACGACAGCACAATATAACATCAAGTGAATTAAATCAACTGTGGAGGGGAAAAAAAAGGCAGAGAGAAGAATATGCTGAGATAGTCGAGGAGGAGAGACTTGTATGTGCCCCTACAAGACATTGGTCTGGATGGGCGTTCAAGGATGGGATGGATTCTGCCCAGTGAGCAGACAGAGAGGTGAGAGCGGGACCCGTGTGAGCAGAGCCAGCCCCCGTGCCAAAGCTGCAGACAGCCTGGATCCCATCCCAGGAAGGTCTACGACCCTCTTAAAGAACTTTTATGTCCCCCATCCTGGGCAGCGGATGCAGATTTTATGTGTGTCTGCAGGAGGCTAAAACTGTCTTCAAACACAAAATTATAATGATCAGATGTCTGTCTCGGGGATGAGAGTGTTTCCTCGAGCTGAAAGAGCCCCGCAGACAGTGCCAGAAGTGGATTATAAATAACCCACTACCACGTCTCTCCTTCCCACTGCCGAGGCTCCTGGCCTCCAGTGTCTTTCTCCCACTTGGCGAGATCCCAGATTGGTTTTAATTAACAGTTTTGCTCTCTCAGCTCCGTGCATCCAGGTTTTTCCGGATCAAAAGATGTGCTTCTGTCTCTTCTTCTGTCCTGGCTCGTGAGCAAGGTGGAGGCCGTTTAGGGTCTCAGAACATAGGAGAGAATAGAAAAATGCCACTCGCCTATCAGAAAGGAGGATCTCGAGGGAACTACCCACTACAGAGAGGAGGCCCATAGCCTGATGCTTTGCGGAGAGGTTCTCGGCTGGGTGTCCACCTTCATTTCTGAACCCTGAGGGCCACAGGAGATCAGTAGCAAAATGTCTCCAAGTGGAGGCCCCGGTGCTAAGTCCCTGCATTCGGCCGTGATCAGATCCGAGCTGGAGGAACAGATCTAGCCGCCTCTTCCAACCCGACCTCCCTTGTAAGTGTCAGACCTCCCTTTTAAGTGGGCTGGGCGGCTTCAGCCAAACTGGGTATCTGCTGCTCACACCCACTAACTAGCCTTACAGGCCCTGCCCTCCAGCGCCGGTTCCCGCTTTCCTCCAACAACCTTCTCCCACCCACGTCTCTACCTCCAAAGCCTCCTGCTCCTTCCGAGACCAGGACTCCCACAGCCTTGCCGGAAGCCGCCTTCCTCGGGCCGAGAGCCCATCTCCCTTCAGACCCTTTGTCCTTGATCTGTTCACCCTTCCTAAGGATCCCTTCTATCTGACGTGAGAGCCTTGCTTCCCGAAATGGGTGCCACTGAAGGCAAGCAATGCTCGTTGTTCTGCAGAGGGAAGGGGGCCGTTAGGAGCAAATGCAGTAGAGAGTTCCTGGATTCCACAGCCCCCTCAGGAGGGCACCCAAACCCTGACAATTGCATAATGGAGCACGCTTAACCCCATCGGAGTCAGTATTCCCCAGGTTCTGTGACCACAGAAACTTCCGTCCCCATAACATCTATTAGCGGTCCCCAGGCACGGGGTGTCACAGACCCCACTTTTGGAAGAGCCACGTGAGAGTCTTGGTGATGCCCAGCACCTCCGGCAGGTTCTCGGCATCGGGATGGGGGCGACCCGCTGCCTCGTGTCTCACTGGCCCTTTCTCGACACCGTGCCCTGCGTGTTGTAAGCCGCAGCCATCACCGGGCAGTGTCCACTCACCAAGGCAGTGAACAGACTTGGGGAGACGTTAGGTTGGGTGCTGAGATAGAAAGAAGGCCCCAGCTCGCCCTCTACCCCTAAGCCCACTCCCCACTCTCCCACCGTGTGTCCCTTCCCTTCTCCACCACCAGAAGGGCAGTGAACTTCTCCAGAAGGTGGCCAGTTTTTAGTAACCACACAAAACCTCGCGGACAATGAGGCGTGGCGGAGAACCGTGTGGCGCACAGATCAGAGCCTGTGATCTCACGTTCGGTGGCTGATCTGGGACCAATTCCTTCACCCCCTGAACCTCAGTTTCCTCATCTGTAACAGAACCACTGTCAGACCAGCTGCTCCGGGTGAGCAGAAAACCTGCCTGAGATGCCCTGTGAGCGGGCACAAGTCTGGCACAGCAACGGGGGAGGGCCTATGACAGGTTATGATTCTGGATCCTGTCTGGGAATAGATTTCTTTTCGCTGACCCGTGGGGCGTGTGGGGGGTGCGAATCTCACTGAAACGAGAGACCCTAGGGTCTCACTTAAATTAGTAGCAGATTTGGTGGCCCGAGAACAGATATGGGGCTCTCTAGCGGGTGTCCTGGTGACTTTCTGGGGAACCCCTTCTGTTTCCTGGTTCTGCTGGAATGGAACAGATCAGAGTTGCCGTGGGAGCATGTCTGAGTCCTCACGGAGGGCCCTGGGGAGGGGGTGGGGGCACGGCCCGAACACCCAGTTGTGGGGCTTGGTCTCCATGGGCCTGGCATGGGCCATCCCTCGAGCCACCTCCTTTCTCCTGTAGGCCCTGGAGGTCTGTCTAACGGCCTTGGGGAGGGGATAAGGCTGCAGGAAACACAGAAGCTAGACATCTCTTTCTGGCATGGGACCCCAGAAAGCCATCTCTATCAGGAAACAAGGAGGGCCAACGGTCTCTGATAAAGGATATGAAGGATGCACAGTGAGTCAGAGCAAGTGCCCCCAGCTCCTGTGACTGGGTCTCCCTGAGCACAGGGAGTGGAGGGGACCAGAGGGAGTGACATCAATGGGGTTGTCAGTAGGTCCCAAGAAGATGAACCCCACATGAAACTCCCAAGTGTATTTGTGGGATCAGGAAGCAAACTGCCTGGGCTCTGTGGCTGGGGAAGAGGCAGGGTTCTGGAAAATTTGTGCTGCAGGATTATTTCCAGGCAGATGAGGCCTCAGGAGGCTTTACAGTGTTTTCGTGCCCCAGCGGTGTCCAAGAAGCCAGGTGTCCCATTCATCCAACACCTGCACCAGCTCCCAGATCTCACACATCCCGAGGGAGGAGAGGGCCACAGGTGCACAGGGTCCCGTGTGCATCACCTTGGTGGGAAGGCAACCAGAAACAGAAATTGAACTGTCATAGGAAATTTGAGGAAATTCCATTTCTTGCGTGCCTGAGCCTTTGACTGACGTTCCCAGCCACTGAACCTAGCGAAATCTGGGGACCATCCTACCATGACCATCAAAGACACGGGATCCAGAAGGGGATCTGCTAGGGACTAGCCCGGAGCATGGAGCACTGTCTCCCACAGCTTCTCCCTCTGAGCCTCTGAGCAGCCTGCAGCGGAGCAGCCGCTGGCCCTTCTGGGGCCTGGCGCTGACCTTCTGACTCCCTGAGGTCTGAGGGCCCCGTCCCCATTGGCTCACGGGGCCTCCATAGTGTGGATTAGACAAGACACTATGTAACGCAAAATCCTCAGTACTGTGTCTGCTACAGGTTAAGTAAGCCCTTGATTAATGGTGGCTATTGTTCTTATGGTGATCGCAGAAAATACACCTTCTGCCTCTCCCGTCTCCTTGGCATAGCCCTCACACTCACCCTCCCTACCCCATCCTCCTTTCTCCCCTAGGCCCTGGTCTCCTGGATGCTGGGACAGGCGATCCTGAGTGGATCGTGGGGGAGTTCTGGTCAGCCCACGCGGGGGTAGGGCTGTCCCTCACCATTGGAGGATTCCAGAACCTGGAAGGACCCCCAGACCAAAAGGCACTCACACCCTAGTTCCCTGGATGGATGGGAAGGCAGCCCAGAGGAGGTGGGGCCAAGAGCAGAGCCCGGGCCTGAGAGCCAGACCAGGCTCGCCCAGGCCACTGCCTTTCCTGCTGCTGCTCCCGCCACACACCCCCCTCCCACCCAGGCTGGACTCGGGCGTTGGGAGGAGGAGGAGGAAGAGGAAAAGAAGAAGGACTGCTGACTCACGTCTAATAATGGTATCACTCACTTCCTTGGATCCAGTCCCAAAGGGGTGGTCCCCAAAAGTCGGGAGGCGGCAAAGCAGCCCATAATCCCCCTGCACGCTCTCCAGAGAACAGCACCGAGCTAATGGACTCAACCCTGCCTCCTTCCCGAGGCCCTACAGAGCAACAGCCGAGACCCTGCAGCAGCCCGGCAGCTTGTAGGACCTAGGGGTCACATGAGGCCCCATCAGGTGGGCAGTGGGAGGGACATTGGCTCCTTCCATCTAGAGGTCCTGTCCTGGGAATTCAGACCTGTCTTCATCGACACCGCCTGTGGGCGTGTACTGTGCCTGACAAGGAGGGGCTCCAGGGAAGGAGCAGGGGGACCCTGTTCAGAAGGCCCCCATGCAGGACTCCCCACTTTCTGCAGATAGCTGTGCCTTGGCAAGTCCCCGTCTTATCCCATCCAGTCTGTGCACCAGTCCTAACCATCCGATTGCCTCGCCGTCCCTGCAGCCTTCGGCACACTTGGGGCCACAGTAGCCTGTGCGGCCCTCCTGTCAACTCATCCTCTCCCACCTTTGCCAGGTGGCCAGAAATCAGACATCCCAGTGACATCACCCCCTGCATAATAATCACAGTGACACTGAGGGACCCTGGCCACCCACCTTCGTGGTGGCAGAGGAGCCCAGGCCGGCCTGTTCTGGCACCGTGCTCTCCCCCACCCCTCCACGTCACCCCCACCTCCCACAAGCAGTGCTGGTGTGGCTTTTAGCAGGCCCGACTCAGGGCTCTGGCCTCCGCCTCCTTGCTCTCACGGTTTTGCTGCCTGTGATAGATCGTGCTCAGGCTACGATGAACGTGGTGGCACAGGAAGAGGTAGAATGCAGAAGAATGTAACGGCAGGGCAGCAAGAATTGCCTCGCAGGTGACGGGGAGACCCCTGAGTGCCAGTGCCAGCCTGAGGTGGGACAGTCAGGGCCATACAACGGAACACTCTGCAACAGTGAGGAGCCGAGAAGTCCAAAGTTGGACTTTCTGCGGAGAGAAAGAAGCCAGACACAAAGGAGAACCGAGGTCTCCGGGATGCCGGGCATGTTCTATTTCTTGATCGCAGTGCTGGCCACGCAGGTGTATTCACGCTTTGTGAAATTCCATCAGAATGGACACTTGGTATTCATGACCTGCTCTGTAAGCATATGATACTTCAATACAAGGTTTACAGAAAAGGCAGCAGACCTGCAGCTCTGGGCCTTCTGACCTGCCAGATTCCCCGCTTCGGGCAGGATTCGTTGAGTTCTGAACTTCGGGCACACTTCGAAAGTAAAGATGCCCAGGGCCCCGTGCTCGCGCCCTGGAGCCTGCTCTGTGTGCGTCCCTGGCATCGCCTGCCTGCTGTGTGCTGTTTGTTCGGTAGCAAACAGAAGTGAGAGCGTCCACAAACCCAGCCCGGGCTATTCTCACCGGCCCTTTCATCCGGAGCCGGTGGCCTGGCTTAGATCGCCAGCAGGCCAGCCTGCACACCTCAAAGGCAGGACGATTCCTGTGCACGGGGACAAAGGTTGTACAACTCGGCTCTTCTCTAGGCATCAAACCAATTACCTATGGTCATCACTCAGGATCTTGGCTCCACTCTGCTACAAAACAGGATCCGGCCGAACCCCTTCCCTTTTACAGGCGGGGAACCTGAGGCCCCACGATGGAAGGAGCTTGCCCAAGGCCACTTCATAGCTCTCCTGTGGGCAGGCCCTCGCCCAGCTGTCCTCGAGAGCGAGTACTGGGTCTCTCCCCCCAGTGGCCCCCACCTGCCCTTCAGTGATTGGGAGTGGGGTTGTTGAGAGGCTTCTTTCTTTTAAAAGAATCTTAGAGGCTTAAAGCAAAAGGAGATGCATTTTCACTGGGCAGATTTCGGGCATGCTGGACTTCCTGGTGGGCAAAGGGCATTTCTGGGGCCGCCCAGCATGGGAGGGTCACAGCAGGCTGGCAGCCATCAACCCCTGTCTGCAAAAGCGGGGCACAGACATCAGCCCCAAACTCTGATCTCAAGGTTCAACACGGTGGGATGCTGTCGACATCCCTTCCCGTGACCTTTGCAGCGACCACCCAGGGGCCGCCGGTGCAATCTGGGGGACAAATGCAGCCTGTGGCCCTTTCAAAGCCAGTGAGGCCTGCGCCCTCTCCCCTTTGCTTCTCCATTGTCACCCCTGTTCACCCATTCCCATGTCACCCTCTGCACCCCAGCCTTCAGGCCATCTGGTCTCCTCCTTTCTTCCTTATTTATCCTCATATTCGCTTGTTCGTGCCGCCCCCCACCCTTCACCCCTCCACTCCTGAACTGCCGCTCCCCCATTCTCCCCTCCCTTCTCGCAGTCACAGCACTGACTCCTTTCTTCCCGTCCCCCAGGCACACCTTTTCCTCACGCGTCATGGCAGGTGTTAGCGTTGTGCTGATGCTCCCAGCCCCCTCCCTTCCGGACGGGAGGCGACTTTCACCGGCTAGACCCCTCGTGGTAGAGGATGGGCCTTGGCCCGTGGTGGCCGCTGGAGTTGACATGCGTCTCCCCTGAACCAGAGCCTTTCATGGCCAGTGTGAGGCCCACCCCCCCACCCCCACCCCTGACATCATGGTTAACTGCGTCCCAGTGACCAGCTGCAGCCCGACAAAGAGGCTGGATTCAGAGCGAGGAGTGAATGGAGCCCAGCTCCCGGCCCACCACAGCAGCCGTGGAGGTGCCCCCTTCCAGAGAAGCTGCTGGAAGCAGGGCTGACACCGGCCAGCTGTGCCCTCTGAACCCGGCACGGTGTTCACGTGAGGGTGTGCTTGCTTCCCTCGGGCTCTCCCCACAGATGGCACACCGTGACTGGGCCAGAAGTGGGATCCCGCTAGCGGGCAATGTTGGGCTAGGGGCTCCCCCTCGGCCTGCTCCAGACCTTGTCAGAAGTGCCCAGTGGTCGAGCTCCTCCCCAGAGTCGGTCCCTCCCCTTGTCCTTCCTCGGTCTTGGTCTCGGGTCTCGGACCTGCCCTGAGCTTCCCCGCCCTCTGCCTCTAATCTTCCACAGGCACCTCCCCAAATCAAGGCATATCTAATCCCATCCTGAAGCCCGCTTGACACTGACATCTCAGCTCACAAAGGCCGTGTGCACAAGCAAGAACGAATCTTTGTTTGTTTGCTCCCTGCTGCGGCATACCCTAGCCTTATTCACTCGTTGACTCATCTGGCCACTCAGTCTACACTCAGCGACAAGCCATTCCTCCACCTGCCACCTATTCAGTGACTCCGCTCCGACATCTACACGTACTGGCGCGTGTGCAGCTTGGGCTTTTGGTGTGTGTGGGCACCCTTGGTAGCCCAGGTTCCTGACAGATGTGAGTCCCCCTCCCCCGCCGCCCATCTGCCTCTGTCTCAGCCCTTTCTAACGTCTAGGGGACACTGTCAAAGTGGAGCCAGCGCTGACTCCACTGATTGGAGTGCAGGACATCAAGCCTCCCAGACGAAAGCCACCCGGGTAAAACCTTGAACACTCTCAATCCTGTCCCAGGCAGGGAAGGGGATTCGCCTCTTGTGGGGGACAGAGCAGGCAGACGGGGCAGACAGGCGAGCCGAGATTTGGAAATGAGACACGGCGGCCGGCGGGGATTACTGCCTTTGAATCAGCCCTTCGTTCCCCAACCACTCGCTCCCTCTAAGTAGTGCGCTCATCTGTAGCCGTGCCACACACATCTGGGGCTTCGTGTCCTTCCCCGTTAGCTTGTAAGGTGGGTTTTTATAGGATGAGTATTTGGGAGCCCTGCCACCTGCCTAAGGCCTCTGGGACCTGAATCCTCCTCCTTTTCAGCCACTCTTTCCTGGGGGTGTGAACTGGGGTCAGACAGAGGATCAAAGAGTCAGAAGAAGGACTCTTGATTCTCCTTGCCCTGTTCTACCCTCCATATGGCCTCCCCCTAAAAGATACATTCGTACCCCATTAAGAACCCTCAATAGCCCCCCATCAGCTTAAGGAGGAGGCCGAACTGCTTGGCATGATCCTTCACGGCCCTCCTCAGACTGACACCAGCCAGCCCCCTCCCGCCCCCTCCCCTGCACCTCTCCACCACACACCCTGTGCACAGCCAGTCGCCCTAGACTGCCTCCCTTTGCCAAGGGGGGAGTTAGACTCGATAGGCTTTCACTCTCTTGACTTTGCTCCTTCTTTCCGTTCCACCTGAAGCGCTTTCCTGCTGCTTCTCCCCCGGACACAGCTTATCTTGTTCCCTAGGACACCACTCAAGGGGGAGCTTCTTTGTGACCCCTGAATCAGCTACCGTGACGTGAAAGCGTTGGTCCGGCCCCAGGGCATTGGTGTAATCCATGCCGCAACAATCCCTTGCCTACCTGCCTGGTTTTCCCTGCCAGGCGTCAATGTGGAGAAGGAGCTTTGGACAGGACATCAGCCTGGCTCGGCCCTGCATCCCAGTAGTCAGCCCTGCCACCTTGAGCGAGCTACCCTACATCTTCGAGTCTCTGGTTTTGCATCTGTAGGGTGAAAACCACACAAACCAAGAGGTGTGTGGGCTCGTTTTCTTGTCTTTGTGTGTCCTCGGCACCTCCCCTGGAGGCTGGTGCCTCATGGGCACCAGTGGACTCATCTGGTCCAACTTCCTCATTCAGGAGATGGGGAGCCCGAAGTGCGGAGAAGGAAAACTCGCTCAAAGTCGTAGGTGAAATGGGTCTCAGGGAAGGGGCTGACTCCAGGCCTCAAGCCCTCCATTCCAGGCTTTCCTCCCACTTGTAGAGACCAGGTGGAGAGGGGTGATTGCCAGGAGGCCACCAGCCCCTTTCCAAAAGTCCTGCACCACCTGCTCTCCAGGTGGGGTCACCAGGCCCCATCCTGGCCCAGGTGGGTTGGTTCTAGCTATAGAATGATTGCAACCCATGCCCCTGAATCTGACGTTAAGATCATAAGACCCACCAAGGTGCTGGAGCATATCCAAGGGGACAAAATCTCTGCGACACACCAAGGCTTGTGTCTCAGGATGAGAGACCCCAGAAGAGGCAAGGCCACAAGAGCACAGGGCAAAACAAAAGGGAATCCAACTCAGAAACCCGCACTGCCTTCTCCTGCCCCTCCCCTTTCTCCTTCTCTTCCTCTTCTTCCTCATGTTGGGATTAACCTCAGGAGGACCCATTTAAATTTTTCTTAATCTTTATTTTTGAGAGAGAGAGAGAGAGAGACAGAGTGTGAGCAGGGGAGGAGCAGAGAGAGAGGGAGACACGGAATCTGAAGCAGGCTCCAGGCTCTGAGCTCTCAGCCCAGAGCCCGACGCGGGGCTCGAACTCGCGGACTTCAAGATGAGCTGAAGTCGGACGCTTAACTGACTGAGCCACCCAGGCGCCCCAGAAGGACCCATTTAAAATAAAATCAATAAATGTTCACAAAGTTCACATGGATAGCCACACTCGAAAGTAGCATTTAATTTTCAAGAGCAGCAGAATAGCTCTCCAGTGACATGGAAACAGGGGCGGTTGAGGGCTCTCTCACCCTGAGTCTCTCAACCCCCTTTCCTGACAAAATCCTAATAAAGCAGAAAGGATTCCCAGCGTTTGGGAGGCTGTGAGATCCTCTACATGTTCAATCCTAAGGAAATGGAGCCATTTCCATATCAAAAGACACACC